TGACTGTTTCTTCTCTGTGTTTGCAATGGATGTGCCTTAGGTCACCTGTGGTCACTGGTACCATCCCTCCCATCCATGGAAAATGAGCCCACATTTTCTAATTGAACTAAATAGGGTGTGACTGAAATTCATGGAAAATGGGCAACTCCATGTGCCGTGAGGAGTCAAAGGCCTTTCCAAGCCGACTCCATGTCCAACGTGAATTAGCCCCGTATGTCTGCAGAGGGTTCGTCTTCCAAGTATCACAGAAGCCAAGAGCCTCTCATCCTTATGAAACTAACTTTTAAAAAATACCCAACATTTGCCAGTTTAATAGTTTTGGATTGGCTTATGGGCATTAAAACCATTTTTTATTAAGAGGAAAAATTCCCAGCCAGGCTGAGAAAGCTCATATCAAGTTTCAGCCTGATTCATTTCAAAACCACCATGAAAATTGGGACATTTTCTTTGCACCACAATGGGTTAGTCATGGAAATTCTGCCTTAATCTCAGCTACCATGGCCACAGTCATGAGAGCGTGCTCCGTGCCACTGAAAATTTATGTTACAGTACTGAAGAGTTTTCCCCTTCACTGTCAAAGCAGAAGTGCTTTGCAGTTTGGGGTTTGAGGTTCCCTTTTCAGCAAGAAACCTCATACTTGGGGTGTCTTTTTCTTTCTGGCAGTTTGGTTTTGTTGTTGTTTCCAAAAAGTGCTTTTTACAAGCTCAAACGGTAGAAAGGTAAACGTAGCTGACTATGCATGACGAGGTTAAGGGCGGCTTCCCCTGCAGGACTCTGGGCCTCCTCTGACTTGAGTGACAGACAAGGCAGTCTTCTCGGCCATCTGTCGTGGAGACACTGGCTAAGTGTGGCCAGGCTTCAATGTGTGCGGTTAGAACAGACCTCAGCCAGTAAAACAAAATGGGCCAGCCAAGCTTTCTCTGCAGCCGTGGCACAGAATGCTGCCTTCCACCCTGAAGCTGCCGCCTCATGTCCCACTAGCAGCCACCTCTGTAAGCTACACTCCAGGAATCGGAGTTTTATCTTGAGATAGTGTGTTCACTCAGTGGCTTGTTCATTTGTTTGCTTGTTCCTTCATTTACAGAATATTAAGCATGTTCTCCCCAGGAATGTACTAGACGTTGAGAGCACAAAGATGAGTTCCTGCTCTCCTGGGGCTCACAGTCTAAGTGCGGGAGACAGACACCCCACCTCTGAGTCATTTTGAAAGTGGGGTTTATTACAGACTGCTATCTTACACCTTGTTAAACCCTTAACTCCCAGGTAGACTTAACTATTTCAGTGGGCCCAGGAGGGTGGGTGGGGAACAAAGATGGAGTCCTCCCTGGAGTCTGGCAGACATTTCCTGAGTGTGAGCTTGTCTGTCCCTGCACATCAGTGGACGTGCCAACTCCATCCCAAGGAGGGCCCAAGGCCATCCTATTTGCTCTCCTCGCTCCTCACATCCCTCTCCCACCCCACTCTGCATGCTGGGTCACCTCGCGGGCTTCCTTCTTACATCAGCTGCGGTGTTTCTGACCTGTCACCAGTCACCCAAGCCTCCGGTCACCACTTTGATCACTTGCTCCGGCATCTCTCTTGCCCCACACACCAGGTCAGCACTGCCCAGCTCAGCATTGGAGGACCCAACCTGCTGATGTGCTTTACTCCCGACAGCTCGCCCGAGGGAGGTTGTCTACTCAGCGGTCCCTGGAACACCCTCCACTTACCTGGTGGCCCTTGCTCCAGCGCTCTCTCCTCTCCTCTGCTTGATTGAGTCCTTACTTATCCCTCCCTCTCCTTGGCCCCCAGCCTCTGCTAGAGCGGTGTTTCTCTACTTGGCTGCATAGTAATATCACCTGGGGAGATTAAAAACCTACCCACGCCCAGGCTGCACCCCAGACAAATTCAGTCAATGCCCGGGATGGGATCCAGGCTTTTTTTAATGGTCCAGGTGGTTCCACTGTGCAGCCAAGGTGGAGAACCAGAGTCAATTAGCTTTTCATTGTTCTTTAATTGCTTCACCCTGCTCAGGCTTTGCCTCCAGGGCTTATTTCATTTCCTGGACAGAGCCATGTTCTAGGTGGTCCCTCTCTGCCCCTGGTAGCAGCCCGCCAAGGCCCTCAGCAGCGGCTTGTTTGCTGGAACGTTTAATAGCTCTCTCCTTCACCTCCTCCCCTGGCTGCCTGCTCAGCCTCTGCTCCTCAGTGTGGTGTCCTCTCTCGTCTCCACCAGCCTCCTCTGCCCCCATTGTGCCTCCTGTTGTCCACATCCAGCACCCCAGCAGACTCCCTGTCCTGGGCCTTATCCCCTTCTCCCTGTTGGGGAGCCGCGTGGAGAACCTGCTAAACTCATTCTATGTAGAGTGCATGCGAGGATATTTGTGCAGCACTCTATCATAATAAAAAAACATCAGAGGGGAGGAATGATTTAGAAACTAATGATGGGGATTGACTCAATAAATCATGAATTGCAATACCATAGAAGATTATGCAACAATCAAAATATTTATGAAGAGTTTTTAGAGTCATGGCATATAAGGTTAGGTGTAATAAGTAGAATGCAATACTAGATATAGTGTGAACTAGGCTGTCTATTTATAGAGAAAAGCTTGGAGGGAAATATACCAAAATACTAATAGTGTGGTAAGATTATAGTTGACTTTCTTTTGCTATTACAGATTTATATATTTTTTAAATTATACATTGCACATGTATTACTTTTGTAATCAGAGAAAAAGTGATTTAAAAGAATTTGGGGGATATTAATGTCATATGATGGCTTTTTGGCATCAATCCAAGTGGACAATGGGAAATTCCAATTTCTGACAACGTGGAGTTGGTAGAGGCGAGTCCTGGGGTAGGGTCTGAAGGGGAACCTTTTAGGCAAATAAGATTGTCTTAAAGAGAAAGGTCTCTGAGAGGGTCAGACCAGTGAGCCGGCTCTGGAGAGGCCCACCTAGCAGTGGGGATCTTGGGCCATCCCCGAGCCCCTAGAGCTGGTGAAGTGGGGCCCTTTTAGGAGCCTAGCTCTGGTGCCAGGTGCTGACTGGCTCCCCCTTGGCCTCAGAGAACCACTGACATTTTCCTTTGTGCTGTCTCTGCAGATAGTTAACCTTTGGTTATACTTGCTTTGCCCTGATATTATGAATTCATTGAGTAATTATTCATTCACCAGTTGGTAGAATAAAGTCACTTAATATAATCCCAGGTGTCGTGTAACGGTTTGTCCTGACCAGTGACTTGCGATTGATTTTGCATATTCCACTGAAGGAAGTAGTGTGCAGACAGCACCTGGCTGTTCATTAATAGAATAAAGCTGTCACACGGCCAGACCACTTATTATAACTATCAACAAAAGAGCTCTCCCCAAATTAAGGAGGGGAAAAACACCTAATTTTTATCTTTTCTGTCCTGAGCCAGTATATTTGTAGTTCTGGCAATTAGAATGCATTCAGCTGCTAATAAAGACTATCTGATTAAAATGAGCTGAAATAATAGGGGGTTATTCATTTCAACCATGAGAGGTCTGGGTGCTAGGTCATTTCTAGGGTTGGTGACTGGCTCATCGGGATTGTCAGTCACCCAAGCTCTTTCCGTTTTTCTGCTCTGATATCCTCAAGATCACCTAGAGTATGGGCCATGCCTTCCTCATGGTCATAAGATGGCTACTACATCTCCAGGCATGCTGTCCTTACCCAACAGCATCCCAAGCAGGAAGGAAGAGGGGACAGCAACACAAATGGCCTTCTCCCCACTTGCCTCTCTCTAGCCGGATCTCTTTTCCGGCTCTCAGTAGACTTCTCTTTATTTCTCAGTGACCCAAAATGGGCTATACAGCCACCTCTAGACCAATCACAGACAAAGAGGAGCAGGGTTGCCATCAATGGCTTAGACCAAACATGGTTCAGCCCAGGAGCTGGGCACATTGTCCTGAAACAAAACTGGGGCTCTGTTAGAAGGGAGAATGGGAAACAGTTTGGGAAGGCAGTGCCTGGCATGGCATATGAAACATGGTCTGCTTGTCAGGAAGAGATAGCATTGCCCCAGCCACAAGCAATAATGGGTCTCAGGATGGCCCCTTTCTGCCAGCCATTCTTGTGCACATCACACCCACATCTATACTTGATTTGTGAATCCCCAGAACTCTATAGAACCAGGTAAGCCCTTGGCCTGATCACTTCTTGAAGAGGGCGGCAAAGTAAAGGCAGAGGCCATCCTCCTCGTCACATGCCAGGTGCAGTGACGATCCAGCTGAATGATTCCACATTCGTCTAAGATATTAGTCACAGAGATGTAAGCTCTCTGAGGGCAGGCTCATTTCCGCTGTGCTCACTGGTGTAGCCTCAATATCTAGCTCTGTGGGTGGCACGGAGTAGTTGCTCAATCATAATGGAGTAAATGAATGAGCAGACTGATGACTGAAGAAGATAAGGTCTCCATTGAGTGAGGCATCTGGAAACAGAATGGTGGCAGGCTCTGTGAGTTATCTGGAGACCTAGAAGCTTGCTCTCCATCTCTAGGGAGTTTATAGTCTAACGTTAGGGTGAAAGCTGATGGCCAGAGAGTTGCGGTACAGCCAGAGGGGGAGCCTGCCCTCTCTTGTCTCTAGGCATCAATGACCAGCATTCACTCGCCCATGGATGTCGTACCTTGTGATAACTGCTTTTTGGGATGAGACTACGAGAATATTTTATCTACCAAAACAGACTTTGTGGAAGAAGATTCCTCCTTTACTCTTCTCTCTGTACCTTTAAAGATTTATGAATATAGCTGTGGAAGGGAGAAAGAAAAATCATGTTTCTCTCCTCCTTGTTAGCTTCTTAAACCAAGGAGGAAATGATTATTCATTCAGTTTTAACGAAGTTTATTAGATGACCAAGGATGTAAACGGCCTTCATACATGATGAAGTGTAATCTCGACGTAAAGGATGATTATTAAGGAAAAGAGGTGCTGGTGGCATAAGAACCTTTCCTCACTCCCATTTTTGCTCTTAAAAATCTGTTTTACTTTTATTTTAGACCTAGAAGGTTTTGACTCCGTGGTGTCATCTACTGAGAAACTCAGTCACCCAACCACAAGCAGACCAAAAGCCACGGGGAGGCGGCCTCCGTCCCAGTCCCTCACATCCGTAAGTGTCTCCTTACTTCTCTACAGCTGAAAAGCAGGATAGATTAGAGACTCCAGCTAAGGATTCTTCTGCAAATGGCTGATTTGAAGACAAGCCAGGAGAGGTAGGTCATAAGCTACACTGCTGACCGAAAGTGATTTGAGAGTCTTCTGGAATCAAGCAGTATTTCTTTCTACCCATTCTTTGTGTAACTGCCAGTGAGGTGGGCAGCCCCTATTCCCACCTTCCTTCTCTCTCCTTCCAAACTGATTCTTGTTTGAATCTGAAATGAAATTGGTAAGAAAAAAATGTCACGTTTTATGGTGGCAAAGGAGACCAAGGCTGCTTGGGTCTGTAAACAAAACAAAACTTTCTAAAGAAAGATCTGCCCCTGCACAGCGCTTGGCAGTGTCTGAACCTTTTTCTTCCAAAGCCACATTGCCAGCACCGCTCCCTGGAACCCTGCACAGACCTTTAGGAGATTGCCTGTAAGCATACAAGGCACCTAGTCATGTAGGAGAGACCGGTCAGAACATTCTGGATAACCCATAGAAGTTTTTGGTTTGGGTCATTTTGAATAACTTCTTTTATTATTGGAAACCTTTAACACATTTATGGTACCAAAATTGAACAATGAAATGTGTGAAGAAGAAAGCAAGTTACCTGTAATCTTGCTCCCCAGAGCTAAGAACTGGTAATTTCTTGCTGTATATCCTTAGCTCTTATTTAAAAGTCTATTTGTATGTATAAAAGTATTTCTTCAGAAATGGGATCACATAGTACGCATTGTTTTGGAACTTGCTTTTTTCCCCCTTGTACACCTTTCTCCCCAATCATTACACATTTTTTCAAAACATCACATGAATGGCTGCCAAGTGTTGTAACCCGCGAATGTGAGAGTTTAGCCATTGTGCTGTTACCGTTGTGCCGTATATGTTGTTTCAAGTTCATTATAAACACTGAAGTGAATGTCATTGTAGGAAAATCTTGATGCTGCTCCAGAATTATTTATTTTAAGGAAAAATTTTCTGAAAGTCGGTTAAAGAGAATTGCATATTTTGCTTTTGCCAGAGGTTACAAATTTCCCCTCCACAAAGGTTGTAAAGTTTACCTTCCACAAACAATGTCTCTGTCTCGCTCTGTCTCTCTCTGTCTCTGTCTCTCTCTCCCCCGCTCTCTCTCTCTCTCCTTCTCTCCCTCTGTGTCACTGTCTCCAGTATCATATTGCCTCTCCTTGCTGGGAATGCAGGCCTAAGGCCTCTGACCTTCACCAGATACACCAAGGGATTAACCTTTTGCAGGTTTCCCAGGACACTTTCTACTTTTACCTCATCACTGGTCTTACCTAAGGGGTCATCATTTAGAAGAAAAAGAACGCCACTTCCTTTGAAGCTCTTCTGTCATGTATACTGAGTCTGGAAGTGTGGTTTGAGTCGTCCTATTTTCTTCTTTGTATAAAACAAGTCTAACTATGTATTGACACTTTTTTGGGAGGAAGACTTGAAAAAGTGGCTTACTTTTGCACTCTTATGTAGAGTACTGTGTCAATACTGCCTTCTTTCCCCTCCCCCCTCACCTCTCCACACCCCTCCCAACATGCCTCATATACACATAACTCATTTAATTGCGTCTTAGTATCTCTATACTTAAATTTTTAATCCTGCCTCCCAACTCTTCTCTATAAATCCTTCATCATTTTTGTGTTCCCTCCAAATTCTTCCCAACTTTTTAAGATCTAGAGGGCCTTGAGGCATCCAGAATTAAATACAGAGAAATTCAAATTACCATCCCCCACCCCACCCTTGGTCCATACATCCCATGTCTGGGAGTTTGTGTATATTTTGGGGGACCAGCTAAAGGCATTTCCTCTTCACTCTGTGTTTAGATTACTCGTTTGTTCATTCACTTGTCCAACAAATATTTATAGGCATCTATCTCCTGTAGGCTCGGCTCTGTGTCAGGGACCAAGGCTGTATCTGGGAACAAGACGTACACAGTCCCTGTCCACAGAAAGCTTATGGCACAATGACTCAAAGTTTGGCATTTTATATGGAACAATTTTATTTGCAGACTTAAAACAACAGGATACATCTGTGCTTTCAAGGAATGGAACTACTATACGTTCTTCCCTTCATTCCCATCCATCCCTGTATAGATTGTACATTGAATTCATATTTACTCTTCTTCCCTTTAGCACCTGTGGGTTTTTCATAGCAAAATGGGATTAGTGGATATGGACATATTCCTAAAAAGCCATTGGAGGGAGTGATGGAGGAAATGCACCAGTTGTGACTCCCCAGCCTGGGGCCTCTCACCCTAGTTCAAGCTATTTATGTTTATAGGATTCAAAGAGCAAGCTTTGATTGGCAGCGCATGAACCATAGGTTATATAGGAGGAAACAGGCTTTGTGAATAAAATCTCAAAATGAAAGGGTACAGACATTGCAAGGCGGTTAAGCAGTTAAGCTTAGATTAATAAAAAAGCTTAGTGGTGGGGGGTGTTATTCTAGGTAATTGGATTTTCAGATTAAATGAAGATTAACAAACAAGACCTCTTAATTTTAAAACTTTGCTTAAAAATTCCTTAAATGTATTAGGTTTCTACCTTAGTAAGTGGAGTAAACAGAAGAAAAAAATAGTATTTATAGACATGACTTTTCTGTAATGATGCCAAGTGGTGATTTTCAATAGGACTATTTTCCTATCATGGAGTAGAAGGCATAGAGGGGAGGCTGAATATGAGCTCGGCCAAAGATATATCTGGAGATTCATCATTAAAAAAGATTCTTTGCCATGAGAACTCTTATTTTCACTTGCTTTGTCCTAAAATAGGGAAATTCTAGTACAGTGATCATTTATGACCAAGTGAATTCCAGTTAATTGGTTAATGTTCATCCAACTTTTCCATCTTCACAGTGAGGCAGAAAGGGTAGGAGTATTATTCTCATATCTTACCAAAAGATGCTGCCATTCTGTAAATAGACCTCAGCAATGATAGAATCCAAAATGGATGTTGATTGTCCGTGGCAATGAGGGCAGAGATTTGGCAGCAGGTACCCAATTAGATGTGAGCTGGCTGTGCTGGCAGGCAGGGCTGTGCTCTAGGGCTGTGGAGGCGCTGGTCACTTGACCACAGGCCTGCGGATCCCTTGCCCCTGGAAACAGTTTCCTCTCAGACAAGTTCTTTTAGGCACTTCAGTTTACAGCAGATTTAGCGGTCCTGCCAAAGGCTCAAGGAAAAAGATCAGGAGGGAATGGAGGAGGTTAGAGGCAGCCTCCTTTTGACCTGTGTGTCCTTCCCCACTGGACTGTCAGCCCCATGAGAGAAGGGACTGTGTCTGGCATGTCACCTTTAAGTGCAGTACCAAGTTCAGTGCTTGGAATACGGTAGCAAATGTTTAGAGAGAGGAGGTAGGCTCTGAGGGATGGAGGGGGCAGGAAAAGATGGATGACAGATGTTTGCACAGATGAAATGACCGATGGGCATCGGTAGAAAGATCCCTGGTATAGGAAACCTTGCTTCTCAGTCCTAGTTCTGCCACTCTCTCTAATGCACAGATAATAGCACGCTTTCTGCTTCCCAGAGTTATAATGAGGAGACAAACAAAATAGAAGTGTCAAGTGCTCTGAAAAGCATACAGCATTATGTTAACAAAAGCTATGTCAGCTAAGGTGTGATTCTGACAAAAGCATTTTCTTTTGGCTTTCTCCAGTCTTCCCTTTCAAGCCCTGATATCTTTGACTCCCCAAGTCCTGAGGAAGAAAGAGAGGAGCACGTTTCGCTTGCACACAGAGGAGTGGACGCGTCAAAGAAAACTTCAAAGACTGTTACCATATCCCAAGTGAGTGACTAGCCGTGGCGAGGGTGTCCCAACAGCATGGGATCCCTGCCTTTTCGTGTATGCTCTGACGATGAGTTATAAACCCAACAAGCATAAACAGATGTCTTAGTCACTTTGGACGGCTATAACAAAGCACCATAGATTGGGTGGCTTATAAACAACAGAAATTTATTTCTCATATTTCTGGAGGCTGGAAGTCCGAGATCAGGGTGCCAGTATGGTCAGGTTCTGGCGAGGGCTCTCCTCAGGGTTGCAGACTGCCAACTTCTCATTATACCCTCATGTGGCGGAAAGAGGATGAGAGAGCAGTCTAGGGTCCCTTTTTTAAGGACACCAGTCTCATTTATGAGGGCTCCACCCCTGTAACCTGAGCACCTCCCAAAGACCTCTCCTCCAGATACCATCACAGCAGAGGGTAGGACTTCCGCATGTGGGAGGACACAAACATTCAGTCCGTTATAACAGCGCAAGTTTTAGTGACAGTGATTACTTTAGCCATCAAAATCCCTGAAGCATGTTACAAAGTCACCAAAATTGGGCAGAATCCCTGAGATACAAGTTCAATTGTTGATTTCCTATGTTTTCTCTTGTGATCTGATCTCTTCATGCCATCAACGACACATACATAAATGCCCTTGCACGCTGATACCACCACCATCACCAGCACCACAACCCAAACAGTTTAAAAACCCTGGAGGTGTCAGGAAAGAATACATTAAATATATTAAGTGCTGTGCCCTGTGCCCACAGATCTTGACTTTTATGTTCAAAACTGGTGGTGTCACAAATGATGGTTGGTAGCTCATGAATTTGAATAACTAATGGAGGTCTCTTAAAGAAAAGCTGGTTTGGATCCATTTATTAGGATAAATTTATAGCCTAAAAACATTTTACTTTCATTGCATGCCCAGGGGATGATATAGCTATTTTAAGTTATTGGCTTGTGAGAAACAAAGAAGATAATGTTTAGCAACTGCGTGTGATTTTCGAAGGGTCCCCTGTACAAGTTCTGTTCTTTCTATGAATGTAAACCCAAGATCTTAAAATTCCTTTTTCTTGTGCTGAGAACCCAGTCAATTGGAATTATTTTCTGTAAACATTTGCAACTGCTTTCTGCCTAAGAGCATAAAGCTACAGTCATTTTTAAGGCACTTGAAGCAGGAATTAACACAAAGAAATCAAAGGTTATGTGGGATTTTCCTTAGTATAGATTTAAGAATTTACATGTATAGATTTTCTTAAAAATCTGATACAGTAAGCAAAAATATGATTCTATAAAACAGATCAATTGTAATTATGCACAAAACTGAAGCATCCTTCCTTTATAAAAGGATTCCTTTTGCAGAAATTGGATTTAGACTCCTTTTTTCTGGTGACTATGGGTATACCTATAGTTGCCTTCTCTCTGACATCCCTCGGGTGTCTCTACAGTGACATCTACTGGTGGCCAGCAGCTCTTCACGTTTCTGATTTGCGCAGTTCTATTCCATTAGCCTATTTCACTTCCCTGGAGTTGTCATCTCATGTTATTTATTGCTTCTAGAAATTCCACTTGAACTAATTTGGTCAGGGAATATGGTAGCCTGTACTCTGTGAGGACTTCAAAAAGTACGTGTTAGCTGAAATGGGCCAGGAGAGCGAGTCATGTAGGAAATGCTGAGAGAAGCATTGATTACAGAAATGCCTGGAAGTCAGTCACTGTGAGGACAGTGGTGGGTTGGGAGAGGTAATAAGGATGCAGGGTGGGAAATGGGGAAAAGTATGAACCCAAGAATAGGAAAGAAATGAAGAAAATAATGACAGGAGACCATGACTCTTTAGACTCAGGCAGCCACAGTCAGGGTTCCAGGCTCGAGGGTCCAGCTGATGGGGAGGAGATGGAATCCCAGCTCTGCCAGTTATTAGCTGTGAGATTTGGGGAGTTTCTCAACCACCTCCCTAAGCCTCAGTTTCCTGCTCAGTCAACCGTGTGTGCCAACTGATCTTCGTTTCAATTGTCTAGCCGACATCCGGCATATGACCAGTGCTCCATAATGTCAGTCCCTCTTCCCTCTTACTAGAACTCCTACTAGCAATAAGCACGGGATGGCAGATCACTCTCCCTGGCAGCAGAAAGCGCTTTTCCTCAATGGTAACTTGGCAGAGAAAAGGCGAGCAGAGAGGCTGGGAATGATGGCCCATCTGCTTCTGGCTCATTCTGCCCAGTCTCTCCCTCTAGCACAGCCTGAATCCAGACTCTGCCTCCTCACCGTGCTAGCCAAGCCCCTTCTTGGCTCCTGCCCTGAGCGCATGCTGCTGGAGGGAGTCCCTGCTGCGTTGCCCGGCTTCACCACCAGCCTCAACTCCTGCCCCGTCACTCATCCCCCAACATCCTGTCGGCTACTTGCCCTCCTCCCCACCTGCCTGATCTCACCTTCCCGTAGGCCTGCCACGTGCCCCTCTTCCCTCCCGCCCATGACTGTGCCACTCCCTGTGCCCTCCTGGCCTCCTCAGGACACTTCCCCATCAGGCCTCCCCTGCCTGTCTCCTCCATCTTCAGCCTGGCTCTCTGCTGGCCTTTCCCCTTAGCACATCATCCAGCCCAGGGCCTCCCCTTTGAAAGTAAACGAAACCTTTCCTTGATCCTGTCTCCTCCTGATGCTTCTCTCTGATCTCTCTCTCTCTCTTTCTCCCCCCTCAATCTTCCTTCCTCAGCCAAGTTTCTGGAAGGAGAGTTCTAAACTTGCAGGCCACACCTCTCCCCTCTCACTCTGACGCTGACCTGTCTTGATCAGGTTTCAGTCCCTTGCGCCACCAAATGGGCTCCCGTAGGTTCCCTCTCAGCACCCTTGACCCACGTATCCAACCTCTTTTTTCTATGGGAAACTCTCCTCCAGGGGACTTCCATAATCCAGGCCCTTCTTCTGGGCTGGCTTCACCCCCTCTCTCAGCACTCTGTCCCAGTCTTCAAAGGCTCTGCCTTCTCTCCCCACCTCTTCAATTTGGAAACCACCCAGGTTCCATCAGTGGGCCTCTTCTTTTCTAGTTCTATGTCATCCACTCCCATGGCTTCCACTTCCCCTGGTGATGTCTTTGGCCCAGCTCACTCTTTTAGTCATTGGCTCTGCCCCCTAGACATGTCCCATTGGCTATCCCTCGGGCTCCTAAAATTCAATGTGTCCAAAACTGCATGTGTTGTCTGGGCCTTCAACCTGTTCATCCTCCCATAAAAGGTACAGCCTCACTGCCTAGTTCCTCCATCCCCACCCATGGCCCTAGATCTGTACTGCCTCCTCACCCCCTACAGCCTGTCCAGGACCACATCCTCCTAGTCATGGGGTATCTGCTCCATGAGGGCAGGGACTGCATCTCTTGGTTGGATGAGTCTGCCTTCGCTGCATCTCTCAAAGCTGTCTTCCCTCCATCTTCTCGACCGCTGCTTAAGTCAAACCCTCACCATTTCTAGCTTTCATTGTCTGAGAGTCTCCCAGCAATTCTCTCGACCTCCAGACCTGCCACCCTTTAGGCCTTTCTGCAGCCAGAGTGATCATTAGCTTGGCGTGCAATCTTTTTAACCCTTTGCATGAGCCCCTTCTACCTCCCCAGCCTTAGCTCTCCCGTCCTGCCTCTCCCCGCCCCCTCTGACACTCTAGCCCTGTGAATGGCTGCTTCCCATAAATATGTTTTGCTCTCTGCTGTCTACACCTTTGCATTGCGCATGCCTCCTCCTAGAACTTTTTTCTCCAACCTCCCTTCCTCTCTCCTGGCCGCCTCCTATCCTCCTCCTCCAGGACGAGGCTGTCAGCTTCTCCCTGATGCCTGCCCTCCAGGATGATTGGTCCCTTTCATTTACTCCTGCAGCTCTGTGTGCTTACCTCTCTGTGTAAGAATCCTCCCTCACCTGCGGTGTGTTGCTTGGTCTGTCTGCACCTCACTGAGTTCTGAGCTCCTTCAGGGAAAATGTTTTACTCACTTCAGAGTTTGCAGAACCTAGCAAGTAGGTGGGCCTCTGGCTGTGTACATTAAACCAGGTAGGAACTCCCTGTCCAGAAAGCTGACCGAATTTAAGATACAGAGGGGAAGACCCTGGAAGGGAGGATGTGTGCACCAAGTAGGCCCTTGGGGACGTGTGGGTGAAGGAATGAGTGAGGAGTGTGTGGAGAGGCGGGGACAGTGAGGTAGAGCGGGCTTTTACGAAACACGAATCCCTGGCCTGATCTCTGCCCTCCCTCGGCACAGGTGTCTGACAACAAAGCATCCCTGCCGCCCAAGCCAGGGACCATGGCTGCAGGTGGTGGTGGCGGGGCAGCCCCTCTGTCCTCGGTGGCACCCTCCCCCCTGTCGTCCTCTTTGGGAACAGCCGGACACAGAGCCAACTCCCCGTCTCTGTTCGGCACGGAAGGAAAACCAAAGATGGAGCCTGTGGCCAGCAGCCAGGCAGCCGTGGAGGAGCTGAGGACGCAGGTCCGAGAGCTGAGGAGCATCATCGAGAGCATGAAGGACCAGCAGAAGTGAGTGTCTTGGGACCTGCCTTCAACCGCCTCCCGGGTTGCTCTCCACTGGGCCAGGGCCTAGTGCTACAAGCCTGGGGAACAGCCTGCCTGGAGGGGGGGCTGGCCTCCCCGGTGATGGTGGCAGTGGGGGTGGGAGTGGGTGCAGACCTGAGAGGCTTCATTTAGCTGAGCTCCATGTATAAACTGGATCTGCTGCATGCAGGAAGGGCACAGGCTGGCCACCAGGTGTGCGAGAGGAGTCACTTGCAAGGAGTGGCACGCTCAGCAGGCTGCTAAAAAGAAAGATCTTTAAATCCCCATAAAGTACAGTGTGCACATGTACCACTTCTTAATAAGCCCAACAGGCAGCTTTTCCTCTAGCATCAGAAAAATTGCAGTTTCTTTAATTAGCTGCCCCATGAAGTAATTGGCTTACATGTAGGGCCCGTAATGTATTAAAAAGATGTAGGGAATCTTACAGCGTGAGACTACACTCAGCAAGATGTTCTCACCACGAGATTCAGGGGGCTTTCTCCGTGCATGTCTACGTACACACTCTCTCCACATCTCTAACCCTCAAGGAGCACTTAGATGGCGAGAAGGACCTGTAAGTCAAAATAAATACCACATGTAAATATGACTCAGGATGCCCTATGCAGTGCCTAAGATTGTGAAAGGATTAGAAGTTGAGAGGTACTTACCTGAGTAAACTGAGGCTCAGAGAGTTTAGGGATCAGTTCACTCTTTCTTGAGGGAACAGGGGCATCGGCGGTGGGAGGCACCTCAAGGAGGTGTTTCCTGAGTAAGATTCTGAGCGAGCCCTCCAGCAGAGGGAAGAGCCTGGGCGGGTTCATGGCGCACGGGGCAGCCGGGACAGTCAGTGTATCCCTGGTGCCGGGCCCTCTAGATGGGGAGGTGCCCAGGGCAGTAGTGGGCGATGGGGCCAGAGACCTGCAGTCACGCCCAGGGGGACGTCTGCAGCTGGCAGAAGCCCCGGCACCTGCCTCCCCCAACAGGGCTGGAGGGTCCTGAAGTGTTTTGTGATCAGATACTTTTGGGAATAGTTGGGTAAACAAAGTTAATTTCTTCTCAGAGCCTTTCTATCTATCAAGAAGATGGAGAGGATAGCATATGCAGTGTTGCCCAAATATACTTAATCACAGAGCCCTTTTTTTCTAGAGCATTTTAGGACAAGGGTTCCGTGGAACTCACTTTGAGCATTGTGGCTCTATTCAGGTTCTGTTCCACTCAGGCTGGGAAGTGTCATATGAAATTGGGGACCCCTGGCCTTACCTCTACCAGATAGATATGCAGAACCAGCAGGATGGAACTACAGTGGGTCTCCTGTGGCTAGCCAGGCTGCCCCTAATGCCTTAAAGTCCCAAACTCCTATCTGGCTCTGTAGGTTATAGGTTTGGGTACCCAAAGGCCCCATCCATGTCCAGGTGACATGTATCCCTTGCCTAGACAGTAACTCATGGCCCCAGAGCACTGGTTCTCAGCTTTCTGAACAAGACCATCATTGGGTCAGACTGGCCTAGATCCAGGGATTCAGCCCTTTGGGCCCTCTGAGAGGTGCCTGGAACCTCCGCGTACATCTGAAATGGCCTATACCTGCCTCAGAGTAAAGACCCACCAGTGCTTTGGGGCTGCTACACCCCATGTTCCCCCAATGTGAAGCCTGAGCATAGTTGGCTGGAATTGTCCTTCCCCAACCAACATCTTCTTGAATCAACATGTCATAGCGGCCCCTCTCCAAAGCTGCCTTCCTCAGCCTGGCCTTTATGCCCTGCGCCTCCAGTCTCCTACCTTAGCTCTTGGTGTCACCTTCCTCTCAGCCATCAGCTCAAGTGTGCTAGTTCCCACCTCCCTGCTTCTGCCTTGGGTCTTCCCCATCAATGCCCCCATCTTCCTTCTTCCTTAAGGACCTAGGCCCTTTTTTACTAGTTCAAGACTTTGTGACTTTTCTTTGCACTGCCTTCCCCAACTAACTCCCCCAACCTGGACCACTTGAGGCTTTGCCTGCCATAGTCTTCCTGGAGTCGTGCTGTTTGCTTAGGATCTCACCTTCTGCTTCTTTCCTAAGCCCTAAGTAGTGCCCACTGAGGGGGTGGTGCATAGCGTGTGCTTGAATAAAGACAGTAATGAGTTACACCTGGTTAATGTCAGAGACCCCCCCCCCCCAACATGTTGACAGTAGTGCCCAGACACTGGCCCAAGTATAGGGACCATCATGGTGCTCATCTGAAGTGAGAAAATGCAATATAACTTTGACCTTATTTATTGTGCTGTTTCTACAGTCCTTGTTTTTTGATTTTCCAATCCAGTTTGTAAACATGTACATGTAGGATGGAGTGGTTGATGCGGTAAAATGGAGCATAGCTCTGACGAGAGTTGGGATGGTGGCAGTGTCCTAAGTATAGAACCCTGAGTTTGCAAGCTGATTAGTTTTGTTCTCCTTCATCATTTAATCTTGGAAAGGACATCAGACTGTGTGTTCTAACTCCATCTACTTTCTCCATGACATGATGACCATATTGTAGGTTTACTTACATTACCTTCAAGTTTTCAAGTATTACTCTTTGTGGGATTTTCTGAGAATCTGCGAAAACATACCAGTAACCTTTTAGTCATTTAAAACTTGGTGAAAATAAAGGAAACATATATGGAGTAGTAAAAGTGTCTGCAATGAAAATTATTACATAAGTACATTTGAAGACCAGTGATTCTGTAATAAAGGAATACTTAGAGGGAATACAACAGAACATGAGCCTGGATACCTGGAGTCTAGTCATTGGGCAAGTCAGGCCACCTCTTTGGGGTTCAGTTTCTCCACTTGTCCTTTTAGGAGAAGCTTGGACTGAAGGATCTCAAAGGTCATTTCAGAACTACTATTTGAGAGCTACATATTTTGGGAGCCCAGAAATAATGGCAAGCCTTGCCACCTGCAACAAACTTTAAGTAATAACAATGCAAAGAAAATATAATGTTTTGTCCACATTTTCTTTGTAAAAGGATCGGTTGGGTTTTGTAGTGATAAGAGACTTCTTACCTCTTATTGGGGAACTCTGGGCATTTGTTTAATTTCATTGCCATTTGCTTTTCAGACGAGAGTTTAAGCAGTTGCTGTCGGAGTTGGATGAAGAGAAGAAAATCCGGCTTCGGTTGCAGGTGGGTCCCTCAGAGTCCTATATTGCCATAAGAGGCTCAGTTAGAGGTGGGAACAGAGTCAGGGCTTTATTTTGAAAATAAATAATTGTAACTTCCTGCAGATTTAGATTCGCTTCTTGTGGCAATTTTCTTAGAATCATGTAGGCTCATTTCACATCCTCTCCTAGGATCCAGGAAGTCTTGGGGAAGGAAGGAATTAGTAAACGTGCCCGCAGTTGGGTTTCTCATTTGGAATTTATCTGAAATATCTCCTCCGTGAAAAGTTACCCCCAGTTTCTGGAGGCCTCATTATAGTAACTGCCAGAGGGCATGGCGCTGGGGGGGACTTCGCTGCCAGCTGGCTTCTGTCATGCAGTCTTTGGAACTCCAAGGACCACAGCTGTCCACACTTGGCGCTTTCTCTTCATCTCTTTACCTCTCCCTGATGACCATGTCAGTCCTGCCAGGGCATCAGAGCCCTGTCTCCCTCTAGGCTCTAATCCAACTCAGCCATTACCAAATGGTGGAGAGTATGTGGGAGTTGCAAATGGCCAAAGGCAGACTTTCAGCTTTCATCTAGTTGGTGCCCTTGGTGGTGATTGGGGCCCATGCTGCTTAAAGAAAGGATAGCTGACTGCTTGTCATCATCATCACTTTGGAGGTACTAATAGACACTCCCTAGGGCCCAACCACAGCTGCCTTCCAACACTGCTGAATGGTCCAGCGTGTCAGGAAGCCTGCTCCACCCTCTGCCAGGAAACTGGAATTATTGCTGTTTTTGACAAATTTTAGATACTGGTAGCCTGAGAATGAAAATATCCACCATATGCTAGTTCATCGCATCTGTGTGCCTGTTCTCTAGGTTTATGTCATTTCTGGCGTGGTTATCAACTCTTCAGTCAGATGTCATTTTACCCATTTCCCCTTTAAAATTCTCAGGTTAATTATTTTCTTTCAATCAACCAGGTTGTTTATCTTTCAGCTTCTATCCGACCAGCCAATTCATTATGATTTTGTTTGGCTCTTGTTTTTCTTTTATAGATGGAAGTTAATGACATAAAGAAAGCTCTTCAATCAAAATGAATACTTGATAAATGAAATGTTGCATTATTCATCCTGAGTCCAAGACTCAAATTTTCTGCCCCAGCCAAAATAACCTTGTGCCAAAAGATTAAAGGTTTGCCTCAACATGTCCCTGTTTGAAAGATTAGCACAAAAGTCTTGATAGCACAACACAAGTTCCATCCAAGAGGAGACTCTTCCCCATGGTATAGTCCTGGGTCTGGCACTGGTTGTGACTTAGAGCAAATTGTGCTAAAGGCTTTTTTACTATGAGATCTCATGCGAAACGAAAACTCAGGCAGTTTAGTCCATAGTGGTACTATTTTGATGATATTTTCCATTAATAAAATGTAATTTCAGATTATTCGTTTACAAGCTTTATAATTTTATGATTTTTTTAATCGTGTTTTGTCACAGATTCCCCCAGTGTTTGTATGACACATAGTCCGGAGCAAGTGTCCCATTCTTTTGCTTCAGGCGGAAAGCTGCCTCGCTTTGTGTCCCCTCTAGGATTCTATTACATATGCAATTTTAGGTCCAGCTTGTCCCTTCTCCTGCCAGCAACCCCTACCACCCTAAGATAAATTTTAGCTTATATATGATGGTATATTTACAAAAAGAGAAAGAGAAAATCTGGTATTTGCGATGATCTGTGCCTTCTTTTTACCACCCTCTTGATTGGAGCTTTTGTGATGCAGCTACCATGATTCCAAAAAAAAATTTTTTTTAGCCACTTATCAAAGTCCACTAGAGGCCACTGTCTTCAAAGCTTCTCTCCCCTAGCCAAAGGTCCTAAGAGGAGACAGCTGTGAAGTTGGGCGTGCTCTGTGGCACCAGCTGCGACTTTTAAGTTCTCCTGGTTTTAGGTTGTTCATGAAACTAGAAATGTCACCCCTGCTTGATTTTTCATCAGCTAAGTTAAACCCCTGCTTTCTGTCCTTTGCACCTTTTGAGTGAACAGAATATGCATTATTAAAGCAAAAATAAATAAAAGTAAAATGCAAATGAAAACAAGGGGGGGAAAGTTGTATTATTTCCTGCACTGGGTTATCTGTGTGTGTTATTGTTTAAACTGTACTCACATAATGTCATTTGCCTTGCTCTCTTGTAATCCCTTCCTCAGGTCCAAGAGAATGGGGAGAGGCTCTTGTTGAAGTGTAGCCATTGGGTCTTTCTTGCATTTATGGAATTACTTTTTTCCATCCCCAGGAAACTGGTGTTTGCTTGTTCTCTTTATCTCTGTAGCAAATGAACAGTTCAGCCTTAGACTATGTAACTATTTTCTCATCCTTAGCTAAAAATAAGGGGTATACTGCATTGCAAGATTGTTTGGGGGTTGGGGGGGTGGGAGTGGTCCCTTAATGGCCCTTGAAGATGTTTTATGTGTTTCTAAAAAGCTGCTTTGTCTACTTCCTGAGTTTTAGATTGAAACTACTAAACATTAATAGATTTGCACAACCACAAAGAATGGGAATTGATAACAATGGAGTGCTGCAAAAAAAAAAAAAAAAAAAACACCATGTGTTATTGATCATCGAAAGGATTACAGATAAATGTCTCTTCCTTTCTCTCCCCCTCTCCCTTCCCCCGCCTTCCTCTTTCCTCCATATTCATCCTTGCTGCTGAGGCTGCTACTTCCTCCAGTGTGTTTGTAGATCCTGGACACCCTGGTCTTCTGAGGTGGGGGCATAGTTAAGGGAAGGGAGTGTGTAAAGAAAGAAACCTCCTGTCCTTCATTCCCATGACTGGACATATTGCCTTTTTAGCAGCCTTGCTCTCAGTGTGCCAGGGGACAGGAGCGCCAAGTTTCCAAGGGCAGCATAAAACATTCCTGGGCCCCTTGACTATTCTAAGCTTTTCTATGTTAAACTTGAAGCCTTCAGAGATTTCCCACCACCTGATATAAGAATGAGGATTGGATTCTTTGACGTTTGGATTTCTCATTTACTCATCATGAAAATCCCTAATGATATAGTTTTATATAATGTGTATACAGAGTGGGATTGTTAATAATTAAATTGAGAGGTTGGAGTGCCCTCGTGGGGCACTGGCGACCTGGAATGTAGAGGGCTGTCATCTTTCCCTCATAGAGGCCACCGGCTTTCTTTGTATAAAGAGAGGGAGAAGTGATTCTAGAAGGAGAGGTTGGCGGATCCAGCTTCATTACTGCCCCTTGGGCTAACCAGCGAGAAGCTTCTAGATCATGGAACTGGACAGGCCACTGCCCGAACAGCTACCATCTTCACTCTTTACAGAAATGAACTCCTCAAGAATATTGAAAAGCTTGGAAGTATCACTTTTGAAAAAATCCTTTTGCATTCAGCATGGACTTGACCAGCATCTATGGAGATTATTTTTTTGCTTCATTTTCTAAAGTTGTATTTAGAAAAGTCTTAAGTATTGTGCTTTGTAAAGAAGATGATTAAAATGAAATTTTGTGAAAATATTTTTGTTCAAAGTTGTCATGGTCCAAGAGGAATGATTTCTTGGAATTCAAACCATTTTTCTCCATTTTGCACAATTTGCTTACTCTTATATAAATGTCTTCAGAAGACATGGAATATAGTGCCCCCTCACCTGTTTTTCCCAAGTGAACAGAAATAATCCATTAAAATCGGTGGCTGTGAATTCTGTTTTAAAATTGTTCAATTTTACATTCATATTTAAGCAGAAAATTCTAGCTAGGTCTAAATTCTTTTTTAGTGCAAAAATCATTAAATGATCATTATTCGAATAATTGTGTAAAGCCACTTTTATTCATACACAGCCCTCTAGACAGCATACTCAAGTACATGATTTGTTTTCTCCCATAAAGACAACCTGTATCTATAGTCACATATGTGTCTTTGGTTATTAATGATGGGGTTTTATTTCCTTTCATAACCAGCTCCTTGATGGGAAAACCGCAGGGTGTGTAATTTATTGCTCGCTCACAGTTGCCACGATCTGTATACAAATAATCCCCAGGTCCCACAAAGGCCTTTGTATGTAACCCAAGGTCATCGTGGTCTCTTTTTTGTATTAGATTAGGTTTTAGTCCTCTAGTTATTTTAGCACAAATTAATGTCAAGATGTTTTAGCACTAAGAGGGCTTAGTGAAAAGCTTTTCTCTTCGGTTTTGTACAAATGAGAATTGTAACAAAGCAGCGCGTGCGTGGGCGATAGGTGCTCAGCATGGCTAATTGCAGCATCCAACAGGGGGAAGGCTTGGCACTTATGGCCTAAGCCTGGGGAAGAAGATGCTGTTCCCAAAATTAGCTCTAATGAGGAAACACAATGGCCAAGGTAGAGAAAACTCTTTCCTGGCCAGAAATAAATGTCTGTCAGTGGTGTAAGGACAGAGAAGGGGTTGTGTTTCTTAAGGTGATGAACCATTGCTGTCATTCCTAGTTCTGTCCCTAGGGTCACCAAGGCTTGGTTCCCAGCACATGGAGAAGGCAGCCCTGAAGCCAAGGAGAATCTGTGAAGTAGATGCAGGTCCCTGAGAGGGGGTTTTATTTCATGTCTTTTTAATTGGTCCCAAATTGAAGTGGCTATGGGGACAGCCCCTTCCTGTAAATGACAGCGTGTGCTCATCATGTTTGTGAATTCAGAATTCAAGTAAAATGGACTATTCCTTTTTTCCTGTTGAAGCAATAGGTGATAAAATATTTCAACCAAACAATAGAACAAGGTAACCTAGTAGGTTGTAGCTAGAATTTTCTGAGGAAAAAATAGAGGAAAAAACTTAATAAAAGAAGAGTTGAATTCCTGGAAAACCAGCTTCATGGGGCAGTTCTCTTTAAATGGCAACCAGTTTAATTAAATTATGCAGATATAGCAATATCATTTAAGTCGTGAATGCTTCCCTTCCCTTTCACGCCTATGGAATGTTACTAGTCCTCCAGGAAACTAAGGTTTGTTGGCAAGCTTTGACCTCTCTGATGGAAAAGTGCCCTAGAAATGCAAAACTTCATTATGGTATCTATTAATCAAAAAAAAGTATTAAGGGGTTTACAAACCAGTTTTTAAATTAACCAGGCAGATAAGGCCATCCTGAAGCCAAACAGAAAAACCATGAAGAAACCAATAACATTTCCAAGGTTATTCCCCAAAAGAAAAACAGATGTCTTAGGAGAAATGGAGTGGATTCGCTTCAAGGTTCTTGACTATTTCTTATTCTGAATCTCAATCTGAGAGAACTGAGAACTTGGCTGGGACTGAAGCTCTCCTGTTGACTGCTGAAAGGAAGAGATGAACAGGCACTGGACACTTTCATGAAACACCCACCCATCCCTCTTCCTTGGCCCTGAGACGTGCTCAAGAAATGTTCTTGCTTCTTCTCAATCAGGGCAGTCTCCTCGAAGGAAAGGAATCTGGAATGAGGAGAAGGACATGGATTGAGAGGGGGAGAAGACTCAGAGGGAGAACGTCAGGCCTGGAGGTAGAACCGACCTACTTTTACAGAGATGCATCTAGTGCTGAGAATCTGGGGCGGTGGTGAGGAGGAGGACGAAGCTGAGGGTGAGAACCTTCAAGGTAACAGGGGACACCACGTGCTAAGGATGGGCCTGTTGATGAGAGTCCTACCAATGAATCTTCTAAGGTTTACAGAACCAGAGTGATGACTGGGCTCAAATGGAGAACCCAGTCACCTTGAGGATTTTTACCTAACTTACTTTTTTTTAATTGTGAAGCTAATATTGTATTATATCCAAAGTAGGAAACGAAAAATAGAAAGGCACGGGGCTGGCCCCGTGGCCGAGTGGTTAAGTTTGCGCTCCGCTGCAGGCGGCCCAGTGTTTCGTTGGTTCGACTCCTGGGTGCAGACATGGCACTGCTCATCAAACCACGCTGAGGCAGCGTCCCACATGCCACAACTAGAAGGACCCACAACAAAGAATATACAACTATGCACCGGGTGGCTTTGGGGAGAAAAAGGAAAAAAATAAAATCTTTAAAAAAAAAAAAATTCGCAAGTCTACTGGAATGGATAATCAAAAGGTTATTGAGAGATACTATTTCACACAAGGAAAACAAGCCATCTAATTGTCCATGAACAGTCAGATGAGGAAAATTATGTTATATTCATACAATGAAATGCTAGATAGTAATGAAAATAAGTGAAAAAAAAAAACCCAAAAAAATAGGCAGAAATTATCCTAATCTCATTCAGATGTAGTCTTCAATTATTCTGGTGTCTCATAATGGAAGTCATTCTGTGTGTATAGTTTTATAGTCTGCTTTTTATACTTAGTAGTATCATTTCTCTGTCATTGTTTTCAAAGACATGGTTTGTAATGGCTGCATACTATTCTATCTATAGATAGGCCAAAGAGCATTTAACCAGTCTTTTCTCGAACATGTATTGAGTGCTGAAGATGTGCCAGACACCATGATAGGTGCTGAATTCAACAGAGCCCCTGTCCTCAAGGAGCTCAAGTAGGGGGAAGTAGACAGGTAAGCAGGAGAGTCTTCCACAGTCTGAGAACACGACCACAGAAAGAAGTCCAGGGGCTTTGGAACTGCAGAGGACGGGTGCCCAATGGAGCCTTGAGGTTAGGGAGGTCGGGGAAAGAAGGGCATTTTTGGTTAATTCCATTTTTTAATGTTATAAAGCTGTAATGAATATCTTTGGGCATAAACCTATGTCCACATTTACAATTTATTAAAATAATTCCTAGAAGTGGAGTGTGAGATTTTTAGCAAGAATAACTTTTACCTGATTATAAACACAGTTGAATTAACATTAGTATACAAAAGTGACTAACGTTGTATTTGCCTAAACCTCCGTGGGTGTCAGGTCTGGATCTCTTCTGACTAGCCACTGCTCAAATGTCACCTCATTAGAGAGGCCATCCCTGACCCACAAAATAAAAGAGCAACTTTAGCCTCGATCCTCCCCTTGACTCCCCATATTGATATTGATATCCTGCTTCATTCTCTCTCTCTCTCTCTCTCTCTCTCTCTCTCTCCCCCCCTCCCTCTCCCTCTCCCCTCCTCCTCTCTCTCTCTCTCACACACACACACTCGTCTGTTTTGTCTCCCCTCCCTAGAATGAAACTACCATGAAGATAAGACTTTATTTTCTTCATTGCTGTATCCCCAGCACCTAAAAACTTGCCAGTTGCATAGTAAGCACTTAATATATATTTGTTGACTCAGGTAATTGTGACTGATGCCAAATGGAACTTATTCTATACATTTGAGCAGCCCAGTTTTACCTTTACTAAAAGTCTGTGCACAAAACTGTAGCATTAGGGAAGATTCATGACATAAGAAAGCAGTTCTGAAGAAAGCCTTCAGAGGTACTTTATTTGTACTTGAGTCTCAGCCAACACCTGGACCCTAAGGAGCGTGCTTGCATCACTATGGTCTTAAAACAAGTTCACATGGTCTGTACACTGTTATCTCTAAGACTGTCATCCACTACTAGAAAACCATGGCTACCTTTGTTTTAAGACATAGGAGAAAGAATAAATTCAAGGGTGAGCATATTCCTGACACTTAATCTTGAAACTTCTCTGAGGTCAGCTGAGAACCTAACTGCTGCCTCTCAGGGCTGACCATCTGCCCTTAAAGTGATGAATAAGTAGGACACGTAGACAAGCCCTGGGCCTCCAAGATATGCCAGAGAGTTCTTGGAGTGTGATCCCCGGGACAGCAATAGTAGCATCACCAACCGGGAACTTGGTAGAAATGAAAATTCTTGGGCCCCACCCCAGACCCGCTGAATCAGAAACTGGAGAAGGACTTGGCAATCTGTGTTTTAACAAGTCATCCTGGTGATTCTGACTTACACTCAAGTTTGAGGACCACTGTTAATGGAGGGATCATCTCACTCTCAATGAGTTATGTGTAGACTAACCCATAGCAATCTTTCCAGAAATCTCTAGTTAGACTGTGGCTGCAGGAAAACACGGTGCATTATCCAGGAAATATGCCATAGTCTATTAGATTGAACCATATGCAACTGACATTTCTGTTGGTCAAATATAGTTGAATAGGGCTTCCAGTTTCAGCTTGGAGATGTAGAGAGTTACAAGACATCCTTCCCATGCTTACAACGAAAAATCTGGACAGATTGGAAATTAAATTAGAACTGAGTTTGCAAAGCAAATGACTATTTCAAAATCTGGAGAGAGAGAGGCACTTTCTGTGAGAAACGGGACCTGAGCATTTGCTTACCAGGGACAGAAGCCACCAGATGCCATAGAAATGGATAGGAAGATTAAGCTGGAAAACTTAACAAATTGCTGGAGGCTGAGTGAGGACTAACTTAAGAGTGTGAAGCTCATGGGAAGCGAGGTTCCCACCCTCTTGCAGGCTTTTCCTCCAGGAACCCCACCTGGCTCTTACAGGGAAGATCAGGGAAAAACTGGAGAAAACTCATGGTGCAGACTGGAGGTGCTCGCTCAGGAGCCACTGAGAAATCCACTCAGAACCTTTTCCCTAAAGGAACAAA